AAATGATCAATAGAAAGGACATTTAAGTATATTTTAGTTTACCATGAATGCTTGTCAGTGCAATTTTTATATTTCAAAGTCAATAGAATTATGAAATTATATATAATGATGTAAGTCCTATTAAACAGGGTCAAAAGTGCTCTTAAATTTAACCAACTGCATTTAATATAAACTTAAACTACACATTTTCAATTAATTGTAAATGACGTGCAATTAAAGGCACAATATGTCATTTTCGCCGCTAGAGGGCTCCTATTCAGAATAAACAAAGAGGCAAAAGCATAGTTTGATGACACAGTGACTGAGTGTGGAATCATGGGAGTTGTGGTCTTCAGCCCCACAGCCAATGCAATCCATGTTCATGGATGAGCTAATGATTTATTAATGTTAATGTAGTAGAATGAAGCAGGGTGAGGCTGAAAGCCGTCGAAGCGAAACGAGGCCGCTGAACGAGCGTGACACACGGCTCGAAAGCAGCGGAGCTTTTATTATGCCACAGTCGACCGCTTCCGCTCCTTCCGGTCGTGCATATGTGGGGGGAAAAAGCAGCGCTGTTTTATCATACTAGATACATTTGAAAGTTCTGTTACTATGCTACTCTGTGCGGTCGTCACCGGTCTAATAAAACGCACAACATATTAAAGCGTCTTTGGTGTTTCCATGTTTTCTACAAAACAAAACCGGAAATCGAGGGGTTATGACGGCATTGGCAGGCGACACAATGACACTATGGACACGCTCCGTGTCACTAGTTAAAATTGCTTATTTCTCTGGATTTAAACATTCTTTGAAACATTTGGGATAATGTAAGTACACAAGTCAGCAAAATATATAACCCTGTTCTAGTGGTTTTTGGATATTTTAATAAAAAAAATCTTACATATTGTGCCTTTAAGTATCTGAAAACACATTTAGTTTTCAAACACTGTAAGTAAATTCTTTTAAAGAATATTATTTCCATTTTTTCACAAAGGAGTCATTAACCTTTATACACTTGCTGAAACAAAATTTTTCACTCATTTCTGGTGTGAGAATTTTTTTATTTAAAGTCAAATTTAAAATCTATACCTCAAGAAAAGTAGGTTGTTTTAAAGATCAAATATCTGTAACCTTAAAATGGAAAACATTTTTATTAAAATAGGGATTTTTGGCCTGTCCCACCTCAGAGGTCTATAAATTAAGGTCTATATTAAGCTGTATTTAACTTTTATAGAAGCTGTATCCAACTTTTGTAGAAAATCTATTTTAATTACATTTAATGAAACATTCTATTATTTTAGTTTTTTATTTTATTTTATGCAATCACACAACTATTGGCTTTCAATTGTATTTATACATATCCCAAATCATGGAAACAGGGTTTCAGATATTGCATACCTCATAGAAAATGAATTGAGTTTATATGATATTTAATTTGACCTCCTGAGGTGGTCATTCAACATTTTCTGAAGCAGCTCCTTTCACTAATTTCATGCATCATTCACCCTTTTCTTAGAAAGTGCCTTTTAGAACAGGCAGTAAGCACAAAACCCATAGGCTTTTATTTTTTAAAGATTTTCTCCTCACATCCAGGCAGACAGAAGCGTACTGTAGTCTAACAGGGTACAGCCATCAATGAGCCTAAAATAAGAAAGCTTGAACACAACTCCAGTGTCCTTCGTTTGAACTCACAAAGACTTGTCTGTGAATACGATGAGTCCAGCTTGTCATGTGCTTTAAAAAAAACAAAGGGTAATGTAGAGAGAGAATGAGGAAGTAATGGTTTCAGGGGAAAGCAGCAGTGAATCAATAATTCAGTGCGACTTTCTGTTATTGCCAATATAATGCAACAGGTTCACAGCACACAAGCTCTGAGACATGTACACATTACTGTGTGCTCGTTTACACTCTAATCAATAGATTCTCATAATAAAACTGGTACCTACAGCCGGTCAGTATGGATGATCCAGTTCCTCATATTTTAATGTTTTCCTGTGGAAAGGAAAATATAAATATTTTAGTTGGTAAAATGATATGTTTCATAATTAAGTTTTTAATTAAGTTTTCTAATCCTGTATTGGTGGTTTGGTCCAATAGTTGGTCCATCGGCCTAGTGGTTAGAGGGTCGGACTCGTAAGTCAAAGGTTGCGGGTTTGAGTCTCACACCAGCACGGATTGTAGGTGGGGGGAGTGAATGTACAGCGCTCTCTCCCACCTTCAATACCACGACTGAGGTGCCCTTGAGCAAGGCACCAAACCCCCAACTGCTCCCCGGACGCTGCAGCAAAAATGCCTGCCCACTGCTCCAGGTGTGTGTGTGTGCACTGCTGTGTGTGTGCACTTTGGATGGGATAAATGCAGAGCACTAATTCAGAGTATGGGTCACCACCATACTTGGCCACATGTCACTTCACGTTGTTGGGTAAGTAACTGCAATTTTATGTGAGAGCCAGAAGATGTCAGTCTTTAGCTTAGAAAGTGAGAAATTTAGAGCTTTAGAAAGAGAACATGTCCTGGAACACTTCAGTGATGCCTGAAGATTTTATAGTTTTCTTTTCTTTTTAAAATCGAGTTAGCAATGCAAATGCTGTACTGTGTTAAAAGTAAACTTTAAAGTAAAAAGAAAAAAGTAAAGGAAAAGGGATTTTTGTGATTACAGTCCAACTTATCCTCAGCATCTCTCATAAACAGATCAGCATATGTATACAAAATCAGGCTGTGGTTTAAAAAATGCTGATATAGTTATATGAACTCAAATACTGATCAGATATCAAAGAGGAAAGAAACAATCCTTTAGTGAAAATGTAACCAAAAAAAGTTGTTGATTAATTAGAGGCCTACAGTGTTTATTACATATTATAAACTCTATGCATGACATAGAATTAAGACCTAGATATATCTTATAAAGCACCAAACTATCAAACAACACCATAAAAGTAGTGAAATATATTGCAATATATATTATATTAGTAATATATATTTGTAAGACTCTTAGTCTTTTGCAGTTTTGTAATAAAGTGCTTTGTGTGATGAACAAATTAAAAAGGAATTAGTGATTCTCTGTATATCTATATTTGGTTATGTAAACTATTCCTTCGATATCCACATTCATTTTGCATCCTATTGCATCCTTTTATTTAGCCAAAACTAATATGATGAATGAACACAGAGATATAAGTGTATGACTGTGAAGAGATTTGAGCTGCTCTCTGCATAATCAGCCTGAATTAAGATGCCTGCTAGGCAACTTAATGTAAATTACTCTTATTGGCAATCAATGCAATGTTAATACTGATGATAACACTCAAAGATTATTGTTTTCAAGTAGCTGCTTCATTTTGTATGTTAAGAGAACCTGAGAGAGAGAGCAAAAAAAAGGGAAAGAGAATGAATGGAGAGAAAGCAACAAATTAATCATACTGAATAACACCAGGATCATACATTTAAATAACATTATTATTATTACCATTATTACTATCTGTGGTTTATGCCATAGCTTGGTTTAGCCTCTATTAAGCTGAAATGAAAGAGAACCATTGTGGCAAACCCTGACAGGCTTTCATGATAAAAGTATCAGACATTTGAAATGTTTACCAGTGTCACGTTAAACAGCAGGGCAGGCCACGGCCGTATGTCTGAATCATGGGCGCTTTATAGTCTCAGAACACAGAGAAGAGCAGAGAGAATCCTTCAGAAGCAGCACATCAGGGTTCTGAGAGAATAGCGAGCATCTGAAGGCAACTTTGATTAAGCATATTTCTCTTGTCTGTGACTGTGTTACTGAGAAAACAAAGCCATGGGGTTTCAAATATAGTTATTATTAGTGCATCAGTTCTTTTCAAGGCATCTCATGGGAAACACTGCAGTCCCAGAGAGCTTGTCAAAGACACATTTGATTCTACAAAGACGTTTTTAATGATGCCCAATCATGTGTTAATGTGTCACATTTGCTATCCACATCCAAGGGAGTGTATCCTGCATTTTGTCTTAAAGGGACAGTACACTAAAAAACAAACAAACAAACAACTCTGTCATAGATAACTCTGCTTTCATTGGGCATCATTATAGGCCTTTCATTTTTTTGTTTTTATTTGATGTATTTTTTAAAATTGTTTACATTTTCAATCAATCTATCTGTCTATCTTTCTGTCTATCCGTCCGTCCGTCCATCTGTCTGTCTGTCTGTCTGTCTGTCTGTCTGTCTGTCTATCTAAAATCTTTAATCAAGTCTTTTACAAAAGTACAACTTCCCTTTATACTTTTACACAATTTAAAGTGGGAAACCAAAGTTGTATAGCCTGTTACTGCAATAACAGAGGGTGTATCGTGTATTCTATTTTAAAGGGATAGTTCACTTAAAAAAAAAATCACCCAGTAAACAGACGCTTCCATTGTTATTTTTTTGTTAATTATATATATATATATATATATATATAACAATTTTTTTTACCTGTTTTTATGAATGAAAACTGCATTCCATTAATGAAAAAAAATGTAATTAATTTTTAAAATGATTCATTTATACTGTGCTAACGACAATTGTGAGAACCTTGACAGATTTCATCCTGAAATTAACCTTAAATTTATATTTTAATATTATTATTATCCTTGAAAAGACAGAAACAATTAAAAAACATTCATTAATTTCAAAATTAATAAATGTGAAAATATTAATAATGTAAATATGAATAAAACATGTAAAACATTTTTGATATATATTACAAAAACTAAATATTTTTGCATCATTTTTATTAATGCAGGTTTATTTTATTAATGAAAATTTGTTTTATTAATGTTTTAATGAATAAATATGAAAATAATGATAATGTAAATATTAATAAAAATATGTAAAACATTTGTTGGTAGATTATCTATTAATATTTTTTTGTTGTTATTATTATTATTATTATAAAATTAATTGAAAAGACGAAAATCCTTGTAAAACAGTCGCCCTCCTGAAAGTCACGGTATAACTCAGTGGTCGCTGTGTACATTCACTGGCTGGTCGGCTGAGAGTGCTATAGTATACGGCACTCCCATCTCCCGTGCTATAGGCGGATGTAAGCCTCTCGGGTGATGATACACACTCTGCAGGGAGAGGATTTTTTCGATGAGGAAAACATTCTCTGTCAAATCGTCACATGGGGCCAATCGCTTCCTGCATCGTGACTGAACCACTGTACGCGTTTGTGCGTTTTGTTTTGTGCGTATAGGGTCGCATCGTTAATAAGATTACCGTTCCTCGCGCGCCGCTGATGTCACATATTTTATTGCGATGATAAGCAAAGTTAAAAATGCCATGTCCTCGCTGGTGGGCGGAATTATCCCGCACGGCCACCACCAACACCACCACCATCAGCAGCAGCAGCACGGATCCGCGCAGAACGGCGGCACCGACGGGCAGCCGCCGCGCTTCCCCTACAGCAGACCCGAGTTTCTGGACCTGACGCCGGAGCTGCTGCAGTACTCCACCGAGCACGCTTCCAGACCGGTCATCGCGCTCAAGAGAGACAGCAGGCTGCCCTGGCGAACGGGATACGCGGAGTGAGTCGTGCGTTTTTATCTAAGACGCGCATAATAAATCAATTGTGGGTTAAAAACCATACGTGACGTCATTGCCCAGGAAGGTTATGTGTCACGCCTAACCAAAGGCAATGGCTCATCCTCATCCTCCTCCTCCTCCAAGCGTTCTAGTCACTGGAATGTTTTCACCAGAATGCGTTATGCACTGATGACGTAGCTTACAGTTTGCTGAACTAATCATTACATTTAAACACGAAAATGCTGCATATGTCAGGTTATAGGCGTAGCTTATATCCTTAGGATATTGTAGCACTCATTGAATGCATCTTTACCACAGTACTGAAAGTAGAGTGTACCACAGTATACAGTGCATTCCCACTGCCTGTGCAGCTGAGAGACACACAGTGTTAAAAACCTGCAAATGCCTGATTCCAGGCCTAAAAGTACATCTTGAATGGGAATTTCTTTAGTCGTTGTGCATTACTCTGGTTATGCTCAGCTTCAGGGCTGTTGTCAGAGCAGAGGGAGACACCTGGGAGAATTGTCCCAGGTTCCAGTGATGCATTGGGGCATTAAGGCCCTATATGATATTGCTGCATTCTGGTCATGATAATGCAGGTCTTAGTTCTTACAACTTTCCTAGTTGGGAAAATTTATTTTTAATTTTTAATAAAAAATTAAGGTGGAAGCAAACTGGCAGGCTATTGGTCAAAAATAAGTAACTGTGAATGTTAACCGTACCATATGCTTATGTTATAAATGCTATAAAGCATTATCAACGTATACGATTTTTTAGTAATTTTATTAACAAAAATTATTTTTTATACATTTTAGTATTTATAATTGTTGATTTTTTAATAATATAATATTTTATATAATAAAACATTTAAATATTAATTATTAAAGATGAAAAATAATACAATTTATTTAAGACGTGCAAAAAAGTTACAGTAATGTCACACGTTAAAAAGTGCAGTGTATTATTTTGTGATTTTTCTTTTTTGTGTGTGTTATTTAAGTCAGAAAAGTCATGGTCAAAAGGGATGGGAACCCTGACTTCCATCAGGCATGGTCTGTTGAGTGAAGATCAAGGCCATACTTGCAAAAGGTGGCCAAGATTAAAGCCAGGATGATGATGCAGTCTTTGAGTCATGCCATTAATGAATATAATGCTAGGTTGTTTGGAAAAATGTAATATTTATGTAACATAGTCCTTCTCTGAGCCCAGTGTGTGGAGGAGCTATCTGAAGGAAGAGAGACTGAGATAGAACAGGCCCTGATACTGAAATAAGCCCTGTTAGCCTCTGGTTATTTAATCTATTATTAACTACAGTACAAGAGGAGAACTTTGTTTAAGGCCGTGTGATGACAGCATTTGAAACTGAGTGCATTCTCTCAAGTGTCGAAACAAACAGACTTTGTAGCTGGTCGCTTTAGCATGTTCTTACACACATGCTAACAAACAAAGGTAAAGGTAAATACAAAAGGTTTTAGCGGACATTGATAGGGATCATTTTGAGCAGCAAGTTTAAGTCCACATGAAACAGTCGTCACAATAATTTTTAGTTCTAATGTGATGTATTTCAGAATAAAATATGCAACTAGAAAAACAAAAGATGGCCGTTTTCCGTGCAATTCCAATTAATTGAGAACTGAAGCTGTAAAGAAGATGCAATAGCACCATAAAAGTATCATGGAAGTGTTCTATGCATCTTTGATATGTTTTGAAGACAGACTAAATACACCAAAATACAATCTTCTTAGACCATAATCAGGTTAGACGCCTTATTGAATTTAACATTGGTGAAAACGAGGCTATGAGGCAATATTTACAAAGGCACGCACTATATAAAGGTGCTAGATCATGTAATTTTAACTCCCAAAACAGTTTATGGAGTATTTGTTTACTGAAAGCTTTTTCTGAAAGACATGTCCTTAAAGGGGTCATATGATGCTGCTAAAAAGAACATTATTTTGTGTATTTGGTGTAATGAAATGTGTTTATGCGGTTTAAGGTTCAAAAAACACATTATTTTCCACATACTGTACATTATTGTTTCTCCTCTATGCCCC